TAAAAATTTTGTAACCACTTACATTTAATTATTTGATATCTTAATAAAAATAATAAAAATAACTTACTAGATGTCTGTACCTTGCCTGAATTTTTTATAGGATCTAAGTGGAAGTTTTTATGCTGGTGTGAGATTGTGTCACGTACAACCTTGTGATGCTGAGGCTGTGTGGTCTTCGAGTCCTGGGTTCCCAGCATTGCTTCCAGCCTCGTTGCTCCCATAGAGCCCTGCCCAGAGCAGTTTCTCCATGAACCTGACTGAATGTTTGACTGCATAGTATGACAAACCTTTGGAACTATGCTCTTTGATTCCTTCTCACTTTGAAATTATTCATATTGTTAATTTTTCTACATTCCAAATTTTTGCTTTATTCTGCATTTCTCTATACCTGATCCTCATTGGTTCTCTTTAAATGATTTTGGGGAGATAAAAACACTGAAAATAAATCAAACTTTCCTGCTTTGGCCTCTAGTCTGTTTTCCTTTCAGAAGCACATTCATGCTAGTTCATGGTTGAAAAAACTGAGGGACAAAACCTAAGTAATAACCTTTACCTCTTTTTCAAATTTGGGAAAATGACCCAGGACTCATAAGCCTCATCTTTTATAAATAAGTATTTATATTTATTTATTTTCTAAATAAGTATTTTCAGATAATTTTAGTTATGGTAACTGTGAAATGTAATCCTAATATAATTAATATTTGTTAAGTTGAATTCCTTATTATTCCCAGAAGCATTTGTTCTTCTGTGGATAGTTTAGGAACTAAGGAAGGGGAACTGACCTTTGGAAAGAAATAAGACCATTAATCTGTAAACCAGAGTTTCAAAAACTTTAGGAGAAGCCCTTAAAGAGTTTTTAAGTTTTGGATGAGGCCTCTAACTGTAATAGAATTATAACTATAATTCACTGTTAAGTTATCCTTAGGAAGAAGATTCCTAAGTATTTTACTAACACTGATATAAAATAACTATCTTAGCTCATCCCTTTTATATCTCCGTCTCTTCATTCTTATAAACCTATTTTGTTTTCTTTCCAATGAGTTAGAAATACAGTCTCCTTTTTGGTAGTTGTCAGTTCTCCACAGCTAGAGGGTAAGATAAAATAGGATGGTATCCTTTATTCTTTAGAGAATAAATTTTCCCCTTTTATAAATAATGCTTCAGTCAAGGAATGAATTAAAATTTACTCTGGTGTTCTTTATTCTTATTGAAGCTTGCCATTTTTGAAAAAGAAATTATCAGATGAAACAACTTATGCTGAAGACACTGCTAATTCAATTGCACTTCTAGGTGAGTTAAGACTGCCTTAGGCAGAGAGTATAAATGGCAGGGCCTGCAGACAAAAGAAAGTATCTGCTTCATTGTGTCACTAACAGTGTCCACACCATGACTCTTCCCTTATGTTCTGGTTGAGATTATTCAGTGCACTTGGTGATAATTCTAGTACTGCTTTCTGCTGGGGTGTTTCATACCATTAAGATTCTGTGTTCCTTAAGTTGAGAGACTGGCCCTTACTTCCTGTACTTACTTGACTTGGTGTTTAGTTTGGTTACATATTTGTTAACCTTTTTTTCTTAGAAAGTCTTTTTAGTAATCACAAAAGTGTTTTCAAGATTGGGCTCTTGTACATGAGTGGCTAAAATCATTGAGCATCTCTTTGTTCATTATGTGCTCCAAACTTTTATATAAAATCAAATATGAAAAATGACATAGAAAAGTAGGCATTTATATCTGGGTTATTACTTGGTTTTCTAGAAAAAGATAGTATTTTCCTAAGAAACGAAATCATGTGAAATACTAGCTATTCCAGCCTGCCCTGGGACATTATGATTTTCCCAAAATAAATTCTATGTTAAATTTATAATTACTAATTTAAGTCTTTATTTGTAAAAGAGAAATAATAAATGATTGACCCAATAAATTTCAAGTATTCACCTAAGTTAATCCCCAGTGCCATATTCCACACAGAAACACTTTAGAGATTCAATGTGGTGAGCAAAAAGTGCTTTTATTTTATTTTACCTTTTGAACATAGAGCATCATTAATTTATTAAGCGCTTATATACCACATACATTCAGCATTAGGGTTAGTTTACTACTTATATTGTAGTTCTGGGTAAAGAACTACAGTAACTCACTGTGTCTTTACAAAAGAATGTGAATTCCTGCACCATGTGTTGAAAAGCCTTTTTAAAATTTTATTTTATTTATTTATTTATTTGGTCTTTTTGAGACAGGGTCTCCATGTAGCCCCAGCTGGACTGGAACTCGCTATGTAGACCAGGCTGGACTTGAACTCACAAAGATCTGCCTGCCTCCCAAGTGCTGGGATTAAAAGCATAAGCCACCACACCTCGCTGCATTTTTTATTTTTACATGAAATTTTATTTATAATTCTTTTATATCTAAGTTTCATAATCTTCAACTATAGTTACTCTGAGAGTAAATTTCAGCTACAAATAGTAGATCAAAGTGTCACAGAGACTAGATTAAGCATGAGGAATTTAAGAAGGCCTTAAGACACAGGCAGGGTGAGAAATAATAGATATTAATTCTGTCATCAGTGGAAAAGTTGCGTAGGAAGCCATCCTAAAAGAGGACATGTTAATATTAACAGAAAAATTGTAGGTTTTATTGGTAACATTTTAAAATGTCTCTGTAGCCCTTATTATTTTGAAGTGTTGCCTCTAAGAGCATTGGCAGGCATTTGTATGATAATGCATGGCCCTGAGTCTACTCTTTGCTTAGTGGCCATATGTCAGGAGAGCACACTACTGTGCCGTTGAGGACAGTATGAACTCAGCTTCATATGAGTTTCCTTCACTGATTATTTACTGAAAATGCTGCTCTTCTCTCCACCCCCTTAATTCCTGGAAGCATGAAATTAAACAAAAATACACACAGAATGAAGTACTGAATGAAAGACATTCACGACGTTTACTAGTAACTCCCGGGTTCGACCATGTATTAGTAAGTTACACTAGGGTTTCTTCTTGATGATAGATATTTCTGACTCAGGAGAAGAGTTTTGGAAATAGATAAGGGAGAAGATTGATACCCTGCTGTAAGGTGATAAATGGGAGGTTTTAAGAAATGCTCTAAGTTTATGGGAACTGAAAGAAGGGAGATGCAGATGAGAAACCCTAGAACTTCTCAGACTTCAAGTTTTGCTGGAAGAATTTAGTTGTTCCTATTGCCTGTTCCTGATTTTTTTGTAACCTAAATAGTGACATTGTAACTCCAAAACAAGATCCAAAGATAAAATTTAATATTCTTGGCATTTTTAAAGTGCTGTTTTTTGTGAACAGATCATGCTGAAGTGAGAATGAAGCGTTCCTTTATACCCCTCCTTGTTCACTACTCTCTTGCCCGCTGACCATTTCTGCAGATGTACATTAGGCAAAGCCTGAAATAAAGCCCATTCTTAAAGGAATTCTTTACTATATAGCACATATAGTGTATAATACTTGATAAGTGACTGTAATCTAACCGGATCCAGTTTAATCCTGAAGCTGATTCTGCTGAAAATCATTTGTCCTTGGGCATCTAGGTGGCATGGGTCATTGCAGAGTCCCACAGAGTATCTTCAGATTCCCCATGGGGAACATTCTTTTTGGACTTCAAAGGAGTAAATGCAATCTTGTTTGAATTATTGAACTAGTCAGAGATAATTCTATAAATATGACTTAAAAGAAACAGTGTCTCTTCTCTATCCTCACCTAGAATACTTGAACATAAAATTGTTTGCCTGTGCAGCAAAGACTGCCTAAAAACCCTCTCTTCCAGTCTTCCAGCAAATTTAAGAGCAGAGCTAATATGGAACTTTAAGGAAAGAATACTCTATTAAATGCAAAATTCTGACTAGTTAGGTAGAAAAATACCAGCCTTATTAAATAGGAGCTAGGACACATTATCATCTACAATATGGTAGATGTTATCCCCAACCCTTTCCTCATACGAACTCAGTCTTCACAGCAGTCTTTAATGTTGTAACTGTTATGCCTGTTTACAGATGAAAAAGGAAGACACTATTTTACACAGGGAGCAAGTAGCAGAGCCAGAATTTAATCTTAGATAGTCTGACTCCTCCCGAAGTTATATTATCAGTATCATTTTCTTCTTCCTAGAAATGACAGGCTGCATTGATTGAGATGTCAAATATATAGAGATGGATTCAAGGCATAATATTTGTATGCATGGTCAAATACATCATCATGTGCTGTAGCACCTTATTTCACCCAACAGTGGACCATATGTATGACAGTGAGCCTATAAAATTGCCATTGAATCAAAAAATTCTATCACTTGATGGTGTAATTCACCATAGGGTGACTCATTATCTACATGTGTGTGGTTATAATGGTATAAATAAACCCTCTCATGCCATTTATATGAAAATATAGTACATATAGTGTATAATACTTGATAATAAGTGACTGTATTCCTGATTTATGTATTTTTTATATTTTTGTCATTTATAGTGTGCTTTTTACTTTTTTTTTTTTTTTTTTTTTTTTTTTTATTTATTGTGTTTTTTTTTTTTTTTTTTTTTTTTTTTTTGGTCTTTTTGAGATAGGGTCTCCCTGTAACCCCTGCTGGCCTGGAACTCATGATGTAGATCAGACTGGCCACAGTCCCACAGAGATCCACCTGCCTCTGCCTTCCCAGTGTTGGTATTAAAGGTGTGGACTGCTCTGCCCAGCCTGGCTTATTATTTTTTTAACTAACTGCAAAACAGTATACTGTGCTTTCCAGCAGCAGCCTCCTACTTCCGAGATTCACCATGTATCTCAGTTGCACCATTTTCTCTTGTGCTTGATTTAATCTCATGTTTCTGTAAATGTACAAGATGGTGTTCATACAACAAAACTTCCTAATAACAAAGTTCTTAGAACATATTCCTGTGTGAAGTGACACATGACTATGGAAGAATGTGTGTGTGTGTGTATGTGTGTGTGTGTTGTGTGTGTATACATGCAATTACAAGTTAATTTGAATATCTGTTGAGATTTTAAAATAATTATCAATATTATATGATTACATTTAAATAGATTTATAATGTGTTGTTACATAGTTCTCATTTATTCTTCTGGCAGGTGAATTAATGAAAATACCAAATTCTGAATTAAGGATACAAATCTGTAAGTGTATTGTTGACTTCTATCATGCAGAACCACCAAAAAAGCATATTCCAGGTAAGGTTTTGATTAGTCTTTCAGTAATAACTTGTGTCTTCAGAAAACAGAAAATTCAGTGTCTCGTTTCTGTCTGAACTCTGAAAACGCAGTGGGCTCACAAATTCAATACGTGAAAAGCAAGTTTTTGTTTGTTCTTTGTTGTGGTAGATTGTTTTTTAGATTTGGCCTCATCTTTAAAAATTGCACATATGGGCGTGGTGGTGGCGCATGCCTGTGTCCCAGCACTTGGGAGGCAAAGGCAGGTGGATCTCTGTGAGTTCAAGGCCAGCCTGGTCTACATAGTGAGTTCCAGGACAGCTGGGGCTACAGGGAACCCTGTCTCAAAAAAAAAAAAAAAGTGCACATATATTATTTTCAGTTTGGGGTTTACATGAGATTTTTCTCTTGAAACTAAATATTTATGACTGAATTTATAAAGACATAGCCAAATAAGTTTATTACTGCTAATAGTACTTAATACTAGAAATAAATTATTTTAATTATAATATCTATCTGCCCATATAGATGTTAAATTACTAATACTGGTCCCATTCACCATAATGTTTGGGAAGAGTTCTATATGTTATAACTAAGAAATCTTTCAAAAAATTTTTTTGAGAGGCTAGAGAGATGGCTCAGCAGTTAATAGCACTGAGCCAATAGCAGTTAATAGGGTTCCCAGCACCAACATGGTGGCTAACAACTGTCTATAACTCCAGTTTCAAGAATCTGACCCTATCTTCTAGCCTTCATAGGCATTGTAGGACATGGGTGCACTTATATACATACAGGCAAAACACTCATACACATAAAATAAAAATAAATCAAATTTTTAAAAATTTGCTACATTTTATTATTATTTTATGTGTATGAGTGTTTTGCCTACATGTAAGTGTACCATGTGTATGCAGTGCCTACAGAGGCCAGAAGAAGGAGTCAGATCCCCTGGAAGTGGAGTTATGGAAGGTTGCTAGCTACCATGTAGGTGCTGGGACGTGAACCCTGGGCCTCTTCAAAAGCAACCAGTGCTTTTAAGTATTGTTCCATCTCTCCAGCCTCCAGAAATTTAATATATAGTGATGACATAGTTGGTATCAGGCATTAGCACTGACACGAAATATTTAATACATACGTCTTACTTTCACTATTCATATATAATTTATAATCAATAGAGTAATGGAGAGAATATATAAAGGATATTTTAGTTATATATTTTTAATAGAAGTACGTCTGTAGTAGTTCAAAAAGATTTATGACTACAGAAAACATGAGAACATACCTTAACAAGGGAAATATATAAGGGGATCATTAAATATATAATTTGAAATCTCAATTAGATAGATAGGTGGAAGTATTAAGTAAACAATGGACATTGTATACTAAAAGCAAAGGGATCAGAAAATGGGTTTGAAATTCACTTAGTAGAAGTGAAGATTGAAGCCACCAGTCATTGAATTTGCCAGGAAATGAATCATGTAAATAGCAAGGGATCAAGGAGTTTATCGTTGGGAGTGCCCATATTGAAATTTAAAAAATATAATTCAAAGAATCAAAAGAGGTTGAAAAAGGATACAAAGAATAAAGGGAAGTTCAAAAAGAAGAAAGAGTTTTCTCTGGCACCACCATCATTGAAACATGGACTGCTGAAACTCCAGGCTACCCAGCCACTTTTGAGCTATGACTGTCACAAGCTGTAGGAGCCATGGAAAGAACCTAGGACACTCAGGAAGCTGGATAAAGACTAAAAGGGGGAAATCAGAACATTGGAGATAGGCACAAAAATTCCAGGAGAAATCTAAGAAGTCAAGTAGTAGAGAGACTGTGAACATAAAACTGTGTGGCCAGTGTGGAGAAATGTTCAGCCAACTCCAGATTAGATTTTGAATAAGAAAATTTCTGTTGTAGTAAAACCATGAGAAACTCATATGTGTAGAGAAATGAATATCAACCTTTCATCCCCAAATGTACCCCTCAAAGCTCAGACAGCTCATAGTCTACAACAGATGAATATCAGAAATGTGGAGATAAACCATGTAAATGTGAAGAACACAGAAGAGCCTTCATTATCCCCAGTGCTTTCCAAAGCATGAAAGGCCACATAATGAAGAAAAACCATATATTAATAGGCAAAATGAGAAAGCCTTTATGACTGTGCCAGATATTCAGAGACACATGATTACAGACAGTGGAGAGGAATCTTATAAACGTAAACCTTTCCCTATTCTTCATTTTTAATATGTGAATATAATTCCTCTGGGAACTATGTCTGTGAGTGTAAGCAATGTGGGAAATCATATTGTACATATTGTTCTTTTCAGAGACATAAATGAGATTACAATTGAGAGAAACTTTATACATATAAACAATATGGGAAAGTCTTCACTCATTCCAATTTCCTTCAAATGCATAAAGAACACACTGGAGAGAAATACTGTGTTTGTAAGCAATGTGGTAAAACCATCACAACATTCGGTTACTTTCAAATACACCAAAAAAAAACTCATGTTGGGGAGAAACCTGTATATGTAAACAATGTGAAAAAACTTCAAATGGTTCAGGTTCCTTTTTCATAAATGAAGAGATTCGTAGTGAAAAGAATCCTTTCTTATGTGAGCATTGTGGTCAAACCTTCAGTTGTTCTTAGTATTGAAAACAAGCACAACCCCACACTAGAGAGAATGTCTGTAAGCAATGTGGGAAAGCCTTCACTCAACCCAAGAACTTTCACAAACATAAAAGAACTAACACTGGAAAGGATCCCTAAACAAATGTGGGAACACATGACCTTTCTAGCACCCATGAGAATGTCATCTGCAGAGAGCTTGTATTAATATGGAGCTTGTGGGGAACACCTCTGGTCATCTTGATTCAGTTCACAGATAGAACATACTATGGTGAGAAACCTTCAGTAGAAGAGTCTTCATATGGGCCACATGTTGTATTGTTGTTGTTGCTGTTGTTTTGGTTTTTTTGAGACAGGGTCTAGACCTCTGTAGCCCCAGCTGGCCTGGAACTTGCTAAGTAGACCAGGCTGGCTTTGCTCTCACAGAGATCTACCTGCCTCTTCCTCCCAAGTGCTGGAATTAAAAGTGTACATCACCATGCCAGTCATATGGGCTACATAAACGAATGTGCTCCACATCATGTGGATAAGAAAGTACACGAAAGTTGTCAGTCATAACAAGTAATATCAATGTTCCATGAAGCTTATTGATGTAATTAACAGGAAGAGCTTGAAGCAAAGTTATCAATAGAGTTTCTATAAAAGTGCTTATTCTGGACTCCTATGTGGAACCTCATTCACCTACAGCTCAAGGACCATTGCGGAAGAGGGGACAAAAGGATTGTAAGAGCCAGGACTGGTGCATGAACACAGGGAAGCAGAGGCTTCCGGGCCACTGGAAACTTGCACATGTGAACTTGTGGCAATGGTTGACGTTCAGCACAGGACCCATGTCAACTCAGTTGAGTGGGTGCCTAGAGGGGAGGAGAGAAATGGGTGGTGGGCCAACTATTGGAGAACTATTGGAGACTGAGTGCTGGTGGGTAAGAGAGAGTATGACTTACATATGATCACTAGATGGACTGACTGGACACCAGTGACCATTTGCACCGAAGGACACTTGGGTACACACGCCTAAATGAATAGGAGTTAGCATGTACAGCAGAATACTTGAGGTTTGGTGAGAGGATGAAGGAGGCATGGATGGGGGAGGGGGTCTGAATTTGATTAAGAACTGTTGTATGTATGAAGTTGCAAAGGCTCAATTTTAAAAAAAACTAAAAAAAAACAATAATTAAAAAAGCAATATTTATGTTAATAAAATAACACTGTTCATCAATAGAAAATATTACTTGGAAAGTTTTATAAAATAGCAATATTATCCTACATGACTCCATCTGATAAACATGCAAAATATTCACTTCTAGTGTGTCTGTTTGGATCGCAAACTTGATATGCCCACCATGCAAATGGCTCACATATAAACATGCCTAATGTAGGAGCTGTTGGGTATTATAAATATAGATTACTGCATTTGCTATAGTGATTATGAGGAAGTAGAATGCTTTTATATCAATTTCTGTGCATTTAAACTGCTACATGAAAGGTTATTATTTTGATGATTCTTTGTTTTTCATACTCTTGATGAATTTAGATAGAAGAAAAATTATTAAAATGTTTCTGTGGGGGATTTCATATGACTCACAGATTTTCTGATGGAAATCTATGATACAAATAGAATCTTTAAACTACCTTAGTAAATCTTGGTAATATGATTTTTTTTATTGTCACTTTTTCCCAAGGGAAAAATCTGTTAGTAAATGTGTTTGAAATGTTAAAAATAAAAAAATTTTAAAACCTCATCCTGAAGGAAATATCCAAAAGTTATAAATATTTGGTGTTTATAAATGGTAAAAAAACAAATATAAAGACTATCTTATTGTGAACTAATGAATGAAATGATTGATGAAATGATTAACACTGCCAAATACTGAAGAAGCTTATGTAATGATGGATGGAAAAAATCAAGTCAATGTGCTGTCTGGAAAGTTGTAGTTAATGTCTGAAATCTATTGAAAAACTAGTTGGGCAGGCACAGGGTTAAAGAATGAAAGGACTGTGAGAGTAGAGGCAATGACTAGAGAATGACGGAATAGAGGCAGTTTATAAATACAAGCTTGTATTTCAAATTCAAATGGTAAAGGAAAAGGAAAGAAGGACAACAGACTAACTGGTAACAAAATCAAAGAAAAGGTTATTTGGGATTTGTTATTTGTTTTAGGATGTGGAAAATGAAGTTTATAGGGAGACAAGCTAGAAGCTCCTAAGGGGAAAATGGAAAGACAAAATTCTCAAAATAAACATAAGAGGATGGAATTAAGAGCACAAGCTTAGAGTTAACCTGGCAAAATAGAGACAACTTTAAAGAAAAAGAAGGGGGGTCCAGCGAGATGACTGGGTGGTTAAAGGTACCTGCTGCTCAGCCTCATAATGTGAGTTCAATCCCTGAAACCCATAGAGTAGAAAGAGAGAGCTGATTCCTGTAGGCTATCTTCTGCACCAAGACATATGCATGCCCACATACATACATACAAAATATATGAATGCAATAAAAATAAATAATTTTTTAAAAGAAATACCTGAAAATTTTAAAAAAGAAAGAGAAAAAGGCAGTGCTACATGAGTTAAGACAGAGGAGTGCTAAGGGACAGAGAAGTGAGAGTAATTTTAATTTGATCAAACTCCAGAAATTGGGAGTTGTAGAGTGCATCCTTGCTAACTCTTGCACATTTGGTTTCAAGTAATGGGCATGACTGGATGTCTGGAACCAGAACTGCAAATTCCCCAGTAGAGCAATTAAAAAATATGTAGTTCTGGAGTTAGGAATGAAGTTTATGAGCCTGAATGTTACCATATCGTTCCATAGAAAGGTAAGCTTAGTGGAAAAAAATACATAGCAAATGTAAAGTACATTTTAGGCCAGTCATGAAAGACTTATACAAATAAACCATGGATTGGGAAAATATTCTTTCTGCCTAAGAAAAGTTTACAATAAAAATTCAGTGGACAACAATAGAATATTAAAATTCTATACACAGTGTGCTATTAAAGTTTTATGTATACATTAAAAATGACAAGAAGTGTATTAAAATGTTAGTGTTATCTCTAAATGGTAAAATTATAAGCAATTTTTGTTACCCCTTTGTACTTTTTAATTTTTTAAATTTGTGTGTGTGTGTGTGTGTGTGTGTGTGTGTGTGTTATATACTTGTGTGTATGGATGCATGCATGGGGGCCAGAGGAGGACACTGGGTGTCTTGCTCTATCATTCTTTATTCCTTTTTGGGTTTTGCTTGGGTTTTTTTGGTTTTTGGTTTTGCTTTTTTTGTTTGTGTTTTTTGTTTGAGACAGAGTCTCCCTGTAGCCCCAGCTGACCTGGAGCTCACTATGTAGACCAAACTGGTCTCAAACTCAGAGACTGGCCTACCTTTTCTTCCTGAGTGCTGGAATTAAAGGTGTATACTGCCACACCCAGCTCTATGACCAGCTTTTTATATGGGTGTTGGAGATTCAAACAGGTTCCTATACTTGTAGAGCAAGTCTTTTACCCATTGAGTCATCTCCTCAATCCTTTTAAGTACTTTTAAATACCTTCCTAAACTTATACAGTAAGTTGGTAGAGCATACGATAGATAACCCATCCCAGGAATGGACAAGACCTTGTCCATGGCCACAGTTCAAATTTAAGAAATTAGGACAAACCGACAGACATCTCAGAACTATGTCAAAAGTAAAGAACCTAATTGATTTCAAAAGTCTAGATGTCAGGAAGTTAGATAAATTTGATCACTAAGAGAGCAAATAGTCTCAACTCACTGTGGTTTTATTCGATCCCTGTGACTAAGTGCAGTTACTCAGGCACCTAGACAACTGTAGCAAGTAGTAGTGTTTCTCATGGGACCTACAGCAGAGTGAAAATTCATGACATGCCATTTAGCCTCCCTAATATACTGCTGCCTTCATAAGCATTTACTGCTTCCTCTCACTTTCCTGCTGATACCATGGAGTCCTTATCTCTGGAAAGCATTAAAGCAGTGCATTGTCCCAAATAGTGAAACTGCGAAGTATTTATAATCACGCTGTTTTGCTTTACAGAACATTATCTACTGACAAATAGGATTAATTTTAAAAAGAATTTAAGATGTGTTTCTTTCCAAAATCTGTGGGCTTATTTTCAAGGGCAACATGAGAGATCAACAGACAATGAACTCCAGATCAAAATTGGCCTACTGCAAATTAAATATTATTGAAACACAGCTGTGTTCATTTATATTAATATTGTCTATGGCTTTCTTCTTGGTACGATACCATGCCACAACATCTAGAGCCAAACAGTTGAACACAGGCCCTATAACTTGCAGAGCTTAAATACTACATGGCTCTTCACAGAATACTGTGCCTGTCCCTATGCTGTACAAGTTTTAAATGCCATATGTTTTAGAAGTTTTTATTCTTGGCTGGGCATGGTGGTACACACTTTTGATCCTAGCACTCAGTGGGCAGAGGAAGGTGAATTTTTTAGTTTAAAGCTAGCCTAGTCTAAATAGTGAGTTCCAGGACAGCCAGGGCTATGTAATGAGACCTTTCTCAAAAAAACAACAAAGTTTTTGTTATTGTTTCTGTTGTTAAATGATCAGATGATCATTGTGTGAGAAAACTGTACATATTTCTATCTGTGTTAGGTTACCAGCAAGCTAGTTCATCCTACAAGATTAAAATGGCTGAGGTTGGAGAATTGGCTAAAACAATGGTCCAGTCAGTGATCTTGCTCGAAAATCAACTTGTTGAGAAGCTTTGGGTACTTAAAGTACTACAACATCTTTCAACTTCTGGTTTGTATAGTATTATTATATTTAAACATTTCTTTGTCAACTATTTTGGTTTCTATCAGGTTATGAAATATAAATAATTTTTAAATTTTAATTTTCAGAAGTTAATTGTACTATAATGGTGAAGGCCCAAGCAGCCAGTAGAATCTGTGCTCACCTCAATGACCCAGATCCCTCAGGACAGCTTTTATTTCGTTCATCAGAAATACTTTGGAATTTATTGGAAAAATCTTCAAAAGAGGAAATAATACAACAGCTTAGTAATTTGGAATGCCTTCTGTAAGTACATATGAATACATGTCCTTTGCCCTTTGAACAATAGCCAGAGAGATAACAACTTTGTTTGAATCTGTATTCAATTAAGTTTTTGATTCAACTAATGGCTATGTTTCAGAACATTTTTGTGCCATTATATAAATGAATCTCCACAATGAGAAGCTATACAAATAAGTTGTTATTTTCTTTTGTTTTGAGACATGACTCACGTGACTAGGCTGGCCTTGAACTTGCTATATGGCTGGTGATGGCCTTGAACTCCTGAAGCCCTTCTACCCCCCAAGTATGGGGATTAAAAGTGGGTACTAATTACCATGCCCAGCAGAAACCAGTCTTGTCTATGTAGAAGGCTCTCAAAAGTCTTATTATAGCTAAATCATAAATTTACATATGGGTAAAGTAAAAATTAAACTTTTAGAACTATTTCATTTATTCAGTAGATCTCTGGTTGATTGCAATAAAATTGACAAATTATGAATAAGTCTTCAAGTTGCTTACTCATTCAATAAATGATTATTGTCTGCTTCACTAAATCAGTCTTAGATCATAAAAAATACAACTAAAGGCTGGGTGTGGTGTTCCATGCCTTTAATCCTTGCACTCTGTGGACACAGGAAGGTGTATCTCTGAGTTCGAGGCTACATAGTGAGAGCCCCACCTCAAAAGCAAATACAACCACCAACAACAAACAACTAAGCAATGCAGATATGGTCTCTTCTTCTGCGGGCCTTCTCTTATGCTTATAGAGAAAGACAAGAACATAGACAATTAAAAGAAAAGATAATATTATGAAAGAGATTAGTGCAAGGAACTTCATCTACTTCAGAAGATGAATGAGCATATTTTTATTTTTTCAAGTGACCCCCCCAACCCTTCCCAGTCCTCTTAATTATCTTTACCTGTCAACTTATCATAACCTGTAGTCACCTGAGAAGGAAGCCTCAATTGAGGGATTATCCAGATCAGCCTGGCCTGTGGGCATGATTGTATGGGTGAGCCCAGCCCTCTGGATGGCACCATTCCCTGGGCAGGTGTTCCTGGACTATACAAGAAAACTAGCTAAACGTAAGCCAGCAAGTAGTGTTCCTCCGTGATTTCTGCCTTCAAAATCCTATTTTAACCTAGAAGTATAAGCCAGTGCAAACCCTTTCCTCCCTGGAGTTCCTTTTGGTTAGATTATTTCATCACAACAGCGGAAAAGAAACTAGAACACCAACTGATGAGGATATTTAGGGGCTCATGCACCTACAAAAGCTAAGATAAAATCGATTTCTGAGTATCTTTATTTAAATCTCAGCAAATGTTACAGCTTGATCCCTCTTTATCTGTTTGCACTGTCTTCCATTCTTTTGGCTTTGTTCCCAAAAAGGTTTGCCATCTGAAAGCTTAAAGGGAAAAAAAAAAAGCAAAATAAACAAGGTCTTCAAATTGAGTCCCTGTTGGTTCTGACTGGTTTGATGCTGGCCAATGCTCATTCCATAGTGATTTGCCAATGTTAGAGAGAAGGAATGCTCTGCCTAGCTAAAAGACAGCATGACACAACCACAAGTTCAGGAGGCAAAGCAACGAATGTCTACTATAGAAGGAACCAAGGCTGGGCATAGTGGTGCATGCCTTTAATCCCAGCACTTGGGAGGCAGAGCCAGGTGGATTTCTGAGTTCAAGGCCAGCCTGGCCTACATAGTGAGTTCCAGGTCAGCTAGGGCTACAGGAAGACCGTGTCTCAAACACACACCCATACCCCCACATTCCCCCCACCAAAAAAAACACAATCACAGCCTATTGTGCTAGAGAGATGGCTTAGCAGTTAGGAACACTGGCTGTTCTTGCAAAAGACCCGTGTTCAAATCCCAGAACCCACATGGCAACTAACAACTGTCTGTAACTCCAGTTCCAGGGGATCTGATACCTTCTTCTAGTCCTCCGTGGGCATTGCACGACATGGGTATACTTACATACATACAGGCAACACACACATACACATACACATAAAATAAAAAATAAAATTAAAAAGCCAGGCATGGTAATGCACACATTTAGTCCCAGCACTTGGGAGGCAAAGGCAGGCGGATCTCTGTGAGTTCAAGGCCAGCCTGGTATACACAGTGAGTTCCAGGACAGCTGGGGCTACAGGGAGACCCTGTCTCAAAACAAGACCCCCCCCAAAAAAAAATTTAAAAGAAGGAAGCTGATCTGGACTTGGAGAGTTAGTCCATGTTCCCTCATGCTTCTTGACCTCAACAGTATCTCAGTGATAATTAGGAATGAGCCACACAGAAAAATTTTACATGTAGAGAGCATCCTAGGTGGGGAAACAGAAATGAAAACCAAATTCAGCAAAATAGGAAATAAAAAGCTCTGAAAGAGGTTTAGTGTGGTGAGAGCAGAAAGAGCAAGGTAGACTGGTAAGAGATGAGGCAACGGAGTGAGCAGGGACCATGACATGAAAGCTCGGGAAAGCTTTGTTAGGGAGGGAGGGCTTTATCCTAAAAGTAAAGAGATGCTTTAAGTGACTTTAATGTGGCATGATTAAATCTTTTAGAGAATCTTATTGACAACTATGTATAGATTGGATTAGTGGGTTCTTAACTGGTACATAGTAGTGAATTAGAAACAAGTAAGATTAGAAATGCTTTGATGAGTAATATAAAATAAAAAGGATTTTGTGACAGAGACTTAAGTAGTATTTCCACAGAAATATGACTTAGTTCTGCCTTCTGTGACAAAGTATCAGAGAGTGAAATATGACTTAGTTCTGCCTTCTGTGACAAAGTATCAGAGAGTTGGTGACTTGTAAACAACAGTATTATAATTTGCTTTGCCATTACTGTGGTAAAACACTCTGGCCAAAAACAATTTGGGGAAGAAAGGGTTTATTTTCGTTTACAGATTACAGCCTATCACTGAGGGAGGCCAAGGCAGGAACTTAAGGCAAGAGCATGAAGCAGAAACGAGCAGAGGCCATGGAGGAACACTCCTTACTTGGCTTGCTCCCAGGCATATATTCAACTACCTTTCTTACATATCCCAGGTTCATCAGCCTAGGATGGTACCACTCACAGTGCTCTGGGCCCTCATACATCAATTAGCAATCAAGAAAATATCCCACATATAAAAGCCAATCCAATTGAGGTAATTCCTCAGTTGAGGGTTCCTCTTCCCAGATATGTCAAGTTGCCAACTGAAGCTAACTCTGACAAACAGTAATTCTTTTTTCTCACATTTTTGGAAGCTAGAAGTCAAATCAGGGTGCCAGCCTTGTTGAGTTTTGATGCGTGTGCTCTTCTAGGTAGCAGAAATCTGTTTTCCTGATGTCTCACATAGAAGGAAAAGAGCAAGACAACTCTCTAGGGTTCCTTTTGAAAGGACATTAATTCCATTATGAGGGCTTCACCTACAAGGCCTCACTACCTCACACATTCTTAACACATTTCCTACAAGAGTTAGGATTTCAACATATGACTTTTGTCATCTTTTTTTAAATTAATTTTTATTTTATGTGTATAAGTGTTTCCCCTACATGTATGTAAATGTGCCTCTGCAGAGGCCAGAGAGGTTGTTGGGTTCCCTGGAACTGGAGTTACACACAGTTGTTAGCTGCCATGTGGGTGCTGGGAAACAAACCGGGGTCCTCTGCAAAGGCAGTCAGTGCTCTTAACTGCTGAGCCCTCTCTCCAGTCCCCCAACATAGGAATTTTGAAGAAACACAAACATTTGGCCTATAACAATATCATTTTTAAAATATTTTGTTTTCTAGGGCTTTGAAGGAAGTATTTAAAAATCTCTTTATGAGGGGCTATAGTCATTACGATCGTCAGCTTAGAAATGATATATTAGTGATCACCACAATTATAGCTCAGAACCCTGCAGCGCCAATGATTGTAAGTATAAGTCAGTCTGCATTAATTTTAACTGTTGAAGTAGTAGGAATGAGGGTATTCTAAACTAAGTTTTTGTATTTTTGTGTTTTATTGCCATTCCAACTTATGTTATAATGTCATGATGGTCCCAATACACTTTGACTCTCCACAGTCTACTGCATTCCTTTGCAAACCTGGTATCCTCTTCATATTTCATCACTTACACACGGATCCATTTTTTGTGACATTTTTCTTTCCTTCCTATCAATCTGGCTTAATTTCTTTTTCACTGGAAGAACTTTTTTTTAATCATTTCTTGTGGTACAAATATGCTACCTGCTCTCACCCGTCCCTTGATTTTCTTTTATCTGAAAATGTCTCTAATTTGCCTTAATTCTTGAGGTTTATGTTCATGGAATATAGAATTCTAGGTTGAACAAACTTTCTTTATTAGCACTTGAGAAATGATGTTCTACTTTCTTCTGCCCTCTGCTGTTCCTAATAGGTACTTTTTATTTCAAATTATTGTTTCCCACTGTGCAAAGTATCATTTTAAATTCTGTTTTCAAGGTTTTTTTTCCCCTCTATCACTAGTGTTCTCCAGTTTGGGTATAATGTGCTGAGGTTGATCTCCTTCGTATTTACCCTGTTTGTATATGTTTATAGAGCCTCCTGAATATGTAAATTTTTCTCTTTCACCAAATTTGAACAATTTTTGGCCATTTTATCAGTAGTTTTTAATTCACTCTCTCCTATAAAAAGAAATCAAAGGAGTTTTGGGATGTGGCTCAATGGTAGAGCCCTCACCTGCCATGTGGGATGTCCTGGGTTTGATCTGCAGCACTAGGACTCCAATTACTTGTATGTTTGATTTTCTTAATGTAGCCCCATAAGTTTGTAGGGTTCTGTTCAACTGTTTTCAGTAATTTTTTTCTCTCTGGTCTTCAGGTTGGATAACTGTCTCTTTCTGGCACTATCATCCTATCTAGTGTATTTTTAGTTCAGAAATTGGAATTTCCTTTTTTCTTTTTTCAGTGCTGGAGATCAAGCCCAAGGCATTTGGCATGGTAGGCAAGGGCTCTACCACTGAGCTACATCCTAGTCCCCTTTGATTCCTTTTTCTAGTTTTCCCTTTTTTGCAGAGTGTTCCTATACTCCCATTCATTGTGAGTACCTTTACTGTGGATTATGATATAACCCTCCGAAGAGTACTTTTAAATTTTTATTGCTAATAGTCATTGAAGTTGTCTACATTCATCCCTATGGTGGGTGGCAGTTCAAATCCCATTTCAGATCTTGTAGCCTTACTTATATCTCTGTACTTGCACCATTCAGACAGTAGTCAGAGATTTGGGAAGTGTTTATATGCATATTTGGCGTTCCCCCTCTCTGTTTTTCTTGCTTAAGGGATAGCACTTTTCATGCTAGTGCTTACGGTTGCCTTGGTCTTCTGATTCATTGGTCCACTTAGACCCCAAGTTTACTTTTGAATTTAGTATCTCCACAAAGTACAGAATAGGGATTGTTGCCAGGCTAAAAGCCACATTAAAAGAGTTAATATGGGAATTTGCACAGTGAATTCTCATTCAGTCCTCTTCAAAGTTCCAGCTTTCTTCTAGGTCTCCTTGCTTTTGGCCACAAGATTGTTGCTTTTTATATTTTGTTCAGAGCTTATAGTTGTTGACTTTAGGAAGAATTGTTTTTATCAGAACTGCTCAGCCAAATCAGAAACTAATCTTCCCTATACTTAAAAAATGATGATTTATTATTTAAAATCATGTGTAGGTGTATGTATCTGTGCATGGGTATGTGCATATGAGTGCAGGCTCTCATGGAGGCCCAGAAGAGGGTATCAGATCCCTTTGAGCTGGAGTTATAGGTGTTGTGAACTACCTGATGTGGGTCCTGGGAACTGAACTCGGGTCCTCTGCAAAAGCAGTATGCACTGTTAACTTCTCAGCCATCTCTCCAGCCCTTCCATATAGCTTATAGTGTAAAAGTCATTGAATGGTTGAAATCCTAGAATAGAGGTATTTGGCAACAATGTTTACATATCAGTCATATTACTTTCTAAATTGAATCTCAGAAAACAGCTATGAAAGTACGAATCACATGTCCCTGTACATCAAGCAATCCAACATAAGAAAAGTCATGCAATGCATGTTGTGCAAAGAGGGAAACAACCCTGCATAGTATCCCAGTTAAGTGTGCAGGACCTTTATGTTTTTCTGGCAGGCCCTGGCCAATCAGTAAGTTCTTTACACCGCCATTACAAACATGCAGATGATTCCATGAACACAAATCAAAGGAATAACATTTTAATTTTAAAGAAGCCATGTAAATCTCAAGGTATTAGGAAAATAATGCCATAAACCAAAAGGCCAGGATTTGCCTCTACATACTTCCTTTAATGTACAAAGTCTGACCAGCAAAGTCTCTGTCAGTAATGAGTTCCATGTGCCAACATGTTTGCAGTTCTGATCATTCTCCGGGGCTTTTCATGTTAAGTAGAACTATTTTGTTACCTCCTGACCATCCTTTGGTATGATGAGAGTGACTGGCAGAAAGACAGGGTGAAAAGACATACTGCTGAACTAACTGGATTTTTTTTTATCATATCATTTGAAGGTGCAGATAATGTTACAGGAGTAACTAGATAGGCCTAATATGTGTTGAGTTCTTACTAAATTTTAAGTATCACATAAAATATTGATAGAAAAATGTAAAATACTTATTAGAAGCTTCAGAAGCAAGTTTAAAATTAGGTAAATTAGAGCTTTCTAGCTATATACTGTTATTTCCTTGCTTTTATCCATTATTAGTATTTGCAAATTCAAATGAATTATAGCAGGGAAATTTTACAACAGTTAGATACTAGATGAACATGGGCACCTGTAACTTAACTTCCATGCTAACTAGCCTCTCTGTTTCTCTGTGTGTTTGTACTAGGAATGTGGCTTTACCAGGGATTTGATACTGTTTGCAACTTTTAATGAAGGTAAAAGCGGGCATACCTTAAACAGTTTCTATCTTGATGAGTCTTGTGTATCATCTTAGTTTTCATTTTACTCTTTTCCCCCCCTCACAGTTAAAAGTCAAAATCCTATGGTAAAAGGCCTTAAGCTTTCTAATTCCTATGAAGATTTTGAATTGAAGAAATTACTATTCAATATAATTGTGATCTTATGTAAAGATTTAACTACTGTACAGGTAAAAACTAATCAAGACAAAAACTAATAAAAAGCATCTCACTTTATAGTGTAATGTTTTTAAAGGCATGACTTTAAATCTTTCATTAATCAACTTATGTCTATACCATAGAAAGTAACAAACATACTAATTTGAATTTCAACTTTTTTTTTTTAACTTTTTTGAAACTGTCTCCCTGTGGCCCCAGCAGGCCTGAAGTTGCTATGGAGGCCAGGCTAGCCTCTACCTCACAGAGATCCACCTGCCTCTGTCTACCAGGTGCTGGAATTAAAGGCATGCACAACCATGCCTGGCATATTTCAGCTTTTTAAAATGTCCTTTGCTATTAATAAATGGTGAAGAGCAAAAATTTGAATCACATAAACCAAAGAATAGTAGATGCTAAAAGATTTGTTAATATGTTGATATCTCCTAAATAAGGGAACAGAAATTAAAAAAAATTAATATAGCATAGACTATCCAGTTTGGTTTTTTTGATTAATTATCATTATATATTTTTTGAGACAGGGTCTCCCTGAAGCTCCAGCTGGTCTGGAACTCACTATGTAGACTAGGCTGGCCTTGAACTCACAGAGATCCTCCTGCCTCTGCCTCCCAAGTGCTGGGACTAAAGGCATGCACCACAACACCCAGCTTAATTTATTTTATTTTATTTTATTATGTGTATGTTTTACTTGCATGCATATGTGCTCATGTTGTGCAGTGCCCCATGGAGGCCAGAAAAGGGCATCAGATCCCCCGGAACTGGAGTTACAGATGGTTGCTAGCTGTCATGTGGATGCTGGGAACTGAACCTAGGTCCTCTGCAAGAGCAGCCAGTGCTCTTAACTAGAGCCATCTCTCCAACCCTAATTTATTTATTTTTATTTTATGTGTATGATTGTCTTGCCTGTATGTATGTAGGTGCACCATGTGTGTGCAGTGGCCTACAGAGGCCAGAAGAGGGTGTTTGATGGAACTGGAATTATGGATAGTTTGTTAGCTGCCATATGGGTGCTGGGAACTGAACCTGGGTCCTCTGTAAGAGCAGCCAGTGCTCTTAACCTCTGAGCTGTCTCTCTAGACCCCAGTCTGGGTTTTTTATTTCCTTCCTTCTTTCTTTGATTTTTAGGTGCTCAGATTTGAACCCAGGACCTTGGACATACTAGGCAAGCACTCTAGCACTAAGCCACAACCATAGCCCCCACATGCAGCCTAATTGTTTTATCTGGCCGTAATGATAAGGGATGATTTAATGCTGAATGAAGTTAATAATCTCTGTGACACCAATCTTAACCCCACCTGAACCTGCATTTTCTGCACACAAACCCACCATCTTTAAATTTTTATTCATGAATTTATCTTAATATGTTATTTCCTGTATATTATGTAAGTTTGAGGAACATGGGGAATAAATTTTACTCTAACTTGTCACTTCTGGGTGGCTTTAGCAAAATCCCCTTCACCTCAAAATATTTCTGTCCTGCACACAGGGCTTTTATGAGGTTGAGGTAAAGCCTTTGCACATTGTAAAGTGTTAGGAAAAAAATGTACTACTAACGATGCCATTGATTAGTTCTTTGCTACATTAGGTGAGATTTTCTTTTAACCTAAAACTCTTTGAAGCTCTTTTCATGAAAAAGGAGTTTCATTCTATCAAGTAAATTTTGATAATATAAAAGTGGGCTGGTATGGTGGTTAAGTTAAGGCTTTAGTCAGGGGCATTCCATACATATGTTGCTCAGAGAAAGAGAAATTGCATTTCAGTTACTATTTTTTCATTTTGTCAAAAATATTTGGGGGGCCAGAGAGATTGCTCAGCAGTTAAGAGCACTGGATGCTCTTTCAGAGGACCCAGGTTCGATTGCCAGCACCTACATGGTGGCTAACAACAGCATATAAGTCCAGTTCCAGGAGAATCCTATGCCTTCTTCTGAACTCTATAGGCATTGCATGACATGGGTGCATTTACATATATTCAGGCAATATATACTCATATACATAAAAATGATAAATAAAATATTTTTTAAAATATTTTCCTTCATACTTAACAGAAAAACCTTTCCATAAAAATATATTTCATTATTACAGTCAAAGATTAATAATTATTATTAAATTTTATATAAGTGTAAAGTCAGTAAATAAAATTTATACTCTATTTTGTAAACCAAAAATTCTTGTTCTTGTTTACTCAACTCTAGATCTTACACTCTTTCTTCACACCCCATGAGGCTGCACATGGCGGCGCACAGCCCCAGCACTTGGGAGGCAGAGACAGGCGGATCTCTGTGAGTTCGAGACCACATCATCTACATAGGAGTTCCAGGCTAGCCAGGGCTACATAGTGAAACCCATCTCAGAAAAATAAAAACAAAACAAAGCCGTGTATATAGTATGATGTGACACACTAGTGAACTCAGGAGAGAATTTAGAAAATTTCATTATTGTTATGAAAGTCTTTTGAATAATGGAAAATTAATAGAAAATTAGCATACTATAGAAGAGTGGTTTATACTCTTATGAACTGTAAATATGCATCAATCAGAATTGGCAGTATTAACCATTGGCCATTTTATAATTATGTATTTTCCTTTATTATTGAAAACAATTTTTCAAACAAACTTTATTCAATAAAATTTTTTTTAATCCTAAGGTGTTTAGTTAAATATGGTCATTTGATGAAATAGTTAAGTTTTATCATGTATACTTAAGACATACTTATTTTTATTGCACTTTTATTTCATTTGGGGCTGAGTCTACAAATGTTCCTAGGAGGGATAGAGGCGCAGCTCAGTGGTAGATTGCTTGACTAGCATGCACAAGGCTCCCAGAGCCACACATAAGCAGAGGAAAGAAATACCAGCCATTTACTTGCCTCAGATTTCCTACTTCTATAGTTTTATTGTCTGTAGGGACTAAGTAGATACATAAGCTATGTAGACCAAAAGTTATTGCATATTTTCTGTTATTATCTGCTAAAGAACTCAGACCCCAGAAAAGGGGGTCATAACCAGTTGTTCTTACTGTTGAGTTTGTTGTTGTTTTGGTTTTTAGCATTTTTTTTATTCTGTGAATTTTGGTACTGTTGAGGTAGAAAGGGAACATCAAAGAGAACATTGATAATTTTGAAATTATCAATAAAACAACAAATTTGAAATATTTAATTTTGCTAGATTACATAAAATTATTTTGATTATGCTTCTAATAAGTACCTTCTGACCCTTCCTATAGCTCTTAATTGATGGCAAAGTTATTTTGGCTTTGTTTACCTATGTTAAAAAACCTGAGAAACTCAAAATAATTGAGTGGTCTGCGGCACAGTATGAAGAACTCCAGCTTCATGCGATTGCCACCTTGTCCTCGGTGGCTCCTCTGTTAATAGAAGAGTATATGTCCTGTCAGGGCAATGCTCGAGTTCTCGCCTTCCTGGAATGGTGTGAGCATGAAGGTGAGTGGCCCTTCGGGGACTGTCAAAGTTCTAGTCACTGTATTTCAGATGAACTCTGAATATTTGCATAGAAAAGCGGTAAAGGGAAAAGACAGAAAAAATTCTACTTTGTCTCCCTTTTAACATATTTATATCTCTTAATAAACATCACAACTTCAAAGGCAGACATTAGCAAATATCCTGACTATAATTAATATAAATTTAAAATA